CAGACATTTTTAAGCAGGACAAAATGCCTTAAATTCATTTTTGCCTTAAATTCATTTTTTCCTTAATTTTCCTGCCATCTTTATTTTCAGACATGTTTAAGCAGTACAAAATGCCTTAAATTCATTTTTGCCTTAAATTCATTTTTTCTTTAATTTTCCTGCCATATTTATTTTCAGACATGTTTAGGCAGTACAAAATGGCTTAAATTCATTTTTTCCTTAATTTCCCTACCATCTTTATTTTCAGACATTTTTAAGCAGGACAAAATGCTTGAAATTCATTTTTCCCTTAATTTTCCTGCTCCATTTCAGTTTATTCCACCACAATTCCATCTCAAAAGTGTCTCCTTGAATATCTGAGGGGAAAATTCTCTCTGCAGTCAGTGACAAATCTGTTTCTTCATCCAGGAGGATCCTGCCTTGGATAATGGAGTGGAAAATAAGAATCATGTGAATAATTCAGAAGCTCAAGGTAATATTTGTATATTTTGTATTATAATTTGTATGTTATAATTTTTGTGTAATAATCTCTAGTGTATATTTTATAATATTTTGTTAAGTGATATAAATATTATATTATAATGTTATATTGCATATTATATTGTAGTACGTATTATGTTATATTATATTATATTATATTATATTATATTATATTATATTATTTTATATTATTTTATATTATATTATATTATATTATATTATATTAATTATATAATATTCTATTCTATTCTATTATATTTACACTATATATTATATATTATACATAATATTCTGCTTATTATATATATTATATCTGTTGTATATTATATATAATATATATTATACATTATATAATATATTATATATGATATATTACATTATATAATATATCATATATATTGTATATCATATATTGTATATCATATATTATATATCATATATCATATATTATATATTATATACTATATATTATATACTATATATGATACATTATATATTGTATATTGTATATTCTATATTATATGCTATATATTCTATATTCTATACTATTTATAATATATATTATATATTATGTATAATATGAATTATATTATATTAATTGCATTATATTATATATATTGTATTATATTATATATATTGTATTATATCATATATATTATATATATTACAATTTTTAATGTGATTTTTAATTTGACTTTTCAAACCCTCCATTTTCTATATTCAAATTTTCATGATTTCCTTCACATACATGACTGTGCCTTCATTCTGTGAAGCACTTGGTTAACAAATGTTAATAATTAACATATTTTCATGTTACTGTTCAGAATTCTCATCTTCTGTTCCACTGTATCACCTCAGCTAAATTGAATGGGATTTCTATTTAGAAATATTAATGAATATATAAATAAATATGTATATCAATGATATAAATGAAATTTTATAAATGAAATTTTATAAATGGCCCTGGTGCAGCAGCTGCTGAGGGAGCTGCTGGGGCCTCTCTGTGCTGCTGCTGCTGCAGGAACCTCACCTGAGTGGGGTTTGATTTATTAACCAAAACCTCACCAGAATTAATTTTGTTTTATGAGAAACCTCACCAGAATGGGTTTTGATTTATGAAACTTCACCAGAATTAATTGTGTTTTATGGACAGAAACCTCACCAGAATTAATTTTGTTTTATGGACAGAAACCTCACCAGAATGGGGTTTGATTTATGAGAAACCTCACCAGAATGGGGTTTGATTTATTAACCAAGACCTCACCAGAATGGGGTTTGATTTATGAGAAACCTCACCAGAATTAATTTTGTTTCATGGACAAAAACCTCACCAGAACGGGGTTTGATTTATGAAACCTCACCAGAATGGGGTTTGATTTGTGAAACCTCACCAGAATTAATTTTGTTTTATGGACAGAAACCTCACCAGAAAGGGGTTTGATTTATTAACCAAAACCTCACCAGAGTGGGGTTTGATTTATGAGAAACCTCACCAGAATTAATTTTGTTTCATAACCAGGAACCTCACCAGAATGGGGTTTGATTTATGGACAGAAACCTCACCAGAATTAATTTTATTTTATAACCAGGAACCTCACCAGAATGGGTTTTATTTTATGAGAAGCCTCACCAGAATGGGGTTTGTTTTA